CCTCCCCCGGCCTGGCCCAGCCTGCCCTGGCCTCCCCGCCGAGCTCGCCGCCCCCCCGGCACCGCTCCCGCCCGAGCTGCTTCATTCGCCTGCCTCTAATACCGAGCCTGCTTATTTGGCAGTTTCTCAAGTTACTCCCCTCAGGCAGCTTGAGCCAGTAAAACTAGATCCTTTCATCTCGGCGGAGCTCACTGACAACCAGCCGTCTGGTTTCCTAGGAAACGCAATCTTGGCTAGAAATAGTGAATCATTTCCAGGTCACTTTCAACATGGAGAGTGGAGCAGGGAAGCATTGGACTGAGGAGGAGGTTAAAGCCTTGTTAAGCGTCTGGTCAGAAAAAAATATCAGAAAACAACTCCACGGCACCCTGAGGAATAAAGGAATATTTATCTACATTGCTAAGAGGTTGCAGGAGTTAGGAGTTTGCAGGGATTGGAAACAGTGCCGTGCAAAGTATAAAAATCTGAAGTATGAATACAGAACGGTTAAATATGCCCACAACTCTGGGGATGTCACTAAAACCATGAAGTTTTTCCATGATCTGGATGCCATATTGCGCTATGAACCTGTCACACAGTTAGCAGCAGAAGAAAACGGCAGGTGTCCTGCGACTGAGACGCAGCTGAACACAAGCCCCACAGCAGAGAGCACGCAAGGTAAAAAACTGTTTTTGCTTCTATTTTTTCTCTCTTTGCTTAAAAACCAAAGGGAACAAAACTGAAGCCTGAGTTTGCTCGAGCCGAAGCGGAGGCTGCACAGCCCCAGCAGCTCGGTTAGAACTGACTTGATGCGCTCCTCGCGCAGGGGAATAAAATGTTAGCACCCACCAGTGTCGAAGTCTGTAAATACAGCGTTATTCTAGCAAAATTACGCTAACTGCTTGTACCGCAGCCTCGGTGAGCGCTCGCTGCTGTCAAGGCTTCTGCACTGGCTTGAAACGTTAAATTGGGAAAAACTGTTTTCTTTCCCATTGACATTCGTTTGCAGTACATTGGAAGCAGGTTTTGTAGAGTTCCAATTCAGATGTAAACTTAAAAGAAAGATAAAAGTAAAGGTTGAAACGGTCATGATATTTTTAATAACATAATATATGATGCAAGTGAAATTTAGGATTTTTATTCTTATTTCTCTGTAACCAAAAATTTAGGTATGATGACTAAAGGTAAATTAAATTATTTTGTAAGCAATTCACTTTACATATTTGAGAAACAGAGAGATGTTTAATAACTTCTCATTAAAAATTGTAATTTAGTGAGGAAAGTAAAAATCATCATGTTTATCAGACTATTTTGAGGCAAACCAAATGAATACAACTACTTTTATTCTAAAGGGGTTTTTACCAAATTATTTGCATCTCTTGTTTTATTCAGCCCTCTCTACATATGCATTTAAGCTGTGCTTAACATTTCATTAGGGTCAATCTGCTATTTGACATCACTCAAATCTCCTTGTCACATCCTAAATGTCACTGAAGCATAAGCCCCAATAATAGTTCTAAGTACAAAAATAAGATGGCTAAAAAGAGAAATGCAAAGCTTGGTCGTTTGTTCCCACACTATGTGTCAATTTACCTTAATTAAGATTGTGAATCTTTAAGAAAATAGAAAACTCAACATTTGCATCAGAGGAGATTGCCAAAGGCACAGAAAAGGAGCTGGCCATCTAGCTTGCTCTTGTACCCTTCACATTTCCCTCTACAATGCTGTTTTAGGGGTCTGAGGAAAAGAAATTGACATTTTTCTTGTAATTGTTTACCTTAACAAAAAGCTTGACCTTAATTTGTCACCACTAGCAGAAAGCCTCCAATGTGGCAAAGTCACTTGAAATTAAAATGGCAATTTTATAATATTTTAACATGTGCTCTCTGCACTGTGTATGGCAATATGTTTTTATTTTTAAACTTGCATAACTGAGGGCCAAAGCTGTTACACTTCTGAGGACTGCATGAAACTAAGATAGTGTCCTTCATCTGAGGATCTGCCCTTAGATTACCCTCTGTGTCTTGATGTGGTTTGCACCATTAATCCCAATTCTCATCTGCTTTAGACCTCTAGCAAGTTTAAATCAGAAAAGGTCCATTTCAGTTGTGAATCCCAAACTAAAATATATATATAAAAAAAATTACCCCTGGGTGAGACACACTTCATTTTGAAGCTTTAGGACAGTCTGGTTTTAAAGGTGATACAATTAAACACATCTCTCAAATGCACAAGCATTCCTGTTACCCTCTTAAAGAAAAAAACAAACAAGTTTTATGGATAAACAAATTAAATGCAACTCACTGTAATAATGCAACACTAATGGTAAGAATTTAAATGCAAAGATTCCCACAACAACCTTAATTCAGCCACAAAGAAAACACCATGATAGCAGTGTATCCTGCAGCTATGCAGAATGCATACATCCATAGCAAAGGGCAGAGAGCACAGCTGTGAGAACATCACCTTTCTTCATTCAAGAACACAAGTCCAGCAAGTAAAGCCGTTCCAGAGCCCCAGTGCTTTTCCCACTGCAGTCGGAGTCGCAGTGTCTGCCCGGGGGACGCTGCCCAGCTCAGTACTCTGAAGGGCACTTGTAAGGCTAAAATGGCATCCGTGGCTCCGCAGCTGATGCTCACAAGTTCTTTTGTGTTGCTCCCACAGAAGGCAGCGCAGTTCCCCATGGCGGTGGCCAGCAGCCCTTGCCCCAGCAGCGAAAGGGACCTCTGTCATGTGGGCATCACCCTCCATAAGGCAAACAGCCTAAGCTACAGCCACCTCCCTGCAGGCCCCTCCTGGGCTTCTCCTCTTTCAACCACAGAGTGTTACAGGAGAGGAGGGAAAAATGGTTCCTCTTCTCTTTAAAAAGAGGCCAAGAGGCCTCATTTTGACAGAGCTGGAGGAACAAGGGTGTCTAGGCTTGTGATGCAAGAACAAAATGCTATCAGCAAACTAAAACCTGTGGCAAATAATGCTGTCCACCATGCACGTCTTACTTTAGTTGAAGAACTTAGTAGCTATACTAATTTGTTTTGTTTAAAATGCATGACAAGGGACAGGGCATGCTCCCAAAGAAATAACAGTACTTTTACCATTCTGCTTGGCTTGTCTAAATATTCATATCCATCCTTAATATTTGATTTGCCTGATTATCTCAGCTGCTGGGAGATTGTTGGGGAGAGGAGGAAGAAGGGGAAAGAAGGAAAAAAGAGACTACTTTTATGGGACTGAATGGTATTCCTGTAGTGTTTCCCTGAGTTTCTTCATGTCTGGTAAAATCAGTTTTCTTTTGCAAATGTAATTGAAGAAATTAATACTGAAAATCACAATCAAATAGAAGAGACGTGTCTCAGGACAAGTTTGGTAACAACACACACACAATTCCCACCTTGTTCAAGGAAAGATGACACTTTTTGCCTAAGCACATACAGCAGTGCAAGCCAGAGATGTTCATATCGTCCTCCCAAAATACATGTTTTCAGAGGCAAACACAGAGTTGTAGCTTAAATAGTAATTTAAAAATTATATAAGTCAACATGTTCACTTCTCTTAAAATTTAGTTTGTGTATTATCACAGTAATAAACAACCAAGAAAATCCATGTAGAGTGATACTGCACTGTGAAAAATGTTGTCTTTCATTAGAGTTCAAATGAATTACCTTCCCATTTTGTTAACTGGTTTTGACTGTTTCAAGTTAAATCAAGTATTAATAAATCGAGTACATGATTTTAAAAAATGAAGCTCACCTAGTAATTCACGTTGTTACTTCACTCTTTTATATTTTTCTTTATGTTTAAATATTAATGCACTGGTCACTTTCCTTGACCTTCACTTTACCACAGCAAATGTATAATTATCACGCCTGAACAGAAATGCATATGTACAAAACTCAGACAGCTACTAAAAGTGCAAAAAGATCCTTCAGAAATGCTGACTTGAAAATGCCACTCATACGTAGTTTTCCATCTCTGGACTTTAACGTTAAACATGTCACTGACAAATATTTTATACATATTTGTATTAATAAGAGTGTGCAATACTCTTATTGAGTAACTTTTTTGATCATCAGATGCTTTTTTTTTTTTTTCCCATCAGATATTCTAACATCTTTTGGAACTGTTATTATTTACTTAAAATAATAAACTGCTTCTTTTTAATATTACAGTGTAATTAAGCTTGCTCATCCTAGTGCCCATAGCACACCCAGCAGCCTTCCAACAGGGGATTTATTTCCCCTCTCCATAGTTTGCTCTGCAGCTCTTAAGCAGGTAAAACTCTGGTCCTGGCACTGGAGGCAGAAGCATGAGCACACCTTGCCTCTGCCAGCCTGGCTGCAGTCAGAGATCAGGCCACTGCATCTATGAGTCATCCTGAGCCTTGCTGAAAGTCAGGAGGATTTAGGATAAATTAATCCAGTTTTCAGTTTCACCGACGTCAGGGATACCAGGCTGCATGCAAACCGCGCCTCACCGCTGTTCCTTGTGAGAAACTGCCGCGGTACCTTTGAACACGGTACCTTTGATCTGTGTGACCTGCCTGGCAGGAGCTGACAGTAGCTCACTTCTCATACAGTGAGTGAATCAACATCTTAAACCTCCTGCCAACATGGTACATTGAATACAGTGCCTTACCATAGAACAGCTGAAAAGTCTGTCCTCTCTGAAAATTAAGCTGATTCAGAACTTCTATATGTTCTTATGAAACGTGTATATGCGGCTTTCCAAACTTACATAGCAATTGCTATGATACTGCTTTTTAAACAAATGTAGGAATGCTATACTGTGAGATGCTAGACTGAATCCTGTCAGGTACAAATATGTCTGTTCTCTAGTCACAATACTTTCCTGCTTTCCCTATGCCATTAATGAATTCCTTAGATTTCCAATACTGTTTGCAGAATATTTTTGTTTTCTTCATAATCTTCCCTAAATATTCTTCTTGGATTTTTTTTTTTGTTATATAAATGGATTTATGGTTATCTGAATCCATGTGCAAAGTCCACTTTTATTTGTATGTCTCTTACTTTTCATGATCTACTTTCAAACTGTACTTTAATGTGCTACCCACCCCAAATACCAAGTCAGAAAAGCCTACAAGTCACTAGAATCAAGTTGGTTTCTACAATAATTTTAAAATACATTTCAAACAGGCTTCATATACAAGATATAAAATAATTTAATTTACCTCCTATAACTCGTGTCCCCTTATGGGGACAGGACAAATTAATTTTAAATACAAATTAAATGTGAAGATTGCAAAGTTAATAATCTTCTCATTGTGTATGGACATTTTAACTTCAACTAATTTAAGCTAATTAGTCCATACCTATTTTTCATCTAAAAACTCTTTCCTCCCCAGGTGAAATATCAGTTTCTTTAGAAGATGATGAGGATGCTGCAGGAGATCCACTACTTTTTATGTCCCATGTCAGACCAGTTCAACTAGGTATAGTATGATGGTGCAGAGAGATCAAAACCAAAAAAGCAGCGTGGCTGTCAGAGCCCTTTCTGATAGCCTGAATATGCCATCATTCTGTTTCAGATCAGCACAGCTTTAAAATAGCCACACTTTTGCACCATCTCCTTCCCAGATTTAGCACTCAGCAGTCTCATGTATCATTAGATACTGACCACTGTATGTGAGGTAACACCTGCACGACCACTGTTCACATTCAAAACACATCCCATGCTATAGCTTAATCATATTAACCACATTAATTTTGTGAAATGCTAGTGGAAAGTAAGCCAAATGCTAGTGTGTGATACCCATGTCACCTTGAGGATTTTCTCTAACTCTGTAATTTCTGCTTAAAGCAGCATGAGTGAGTGGCCTGAGCCAGGAGAGATATGCAGAGGTCAGAGCTGTCCCACTGAGCAATCCAGATTTGCAGTGGTCTTCAAAGCAACTGTGGCCTCTCTCCAAGCAAGGGGTGGTCAGCAATGCTTTATTTAGTCCAACCAACCATACAACAGCTCATCTGGAAACTGTCCTACTGTAGTAGTTTTGCTCAGGGAAATCATTACAGAGCAAAGGCACAAATCTGGCAAGCCAGAAAGAGGAAGAAGATCCTAGGTGTGAGCCCCTTCAAGGAGTGCTAAAGGGAATGGAGAAACCTGGACACATTTAAAGCAGAATTAGGCAAACAGTGAGTTTATGATTGCTTGCCTGGATGAACAGCAGCACTGTCCTGGATTTCCTACGTGCTCTTTCCATTTTTTACATACCCTCAATCCTCTAGCATACATCCCAGTCCTGTTACAACAGCCTTCACTATAGAATCTCCAAGGTGCTGTATTCAGGGAGAAAACAAGGCCCCAGCTAAACCTATAGCTTTTACGTTACGTACTATACCCCTCTTGCCCAGCATAACAAGAAACTAAGGAAGATACAAGAATCCCACATGGAATTATATGCACATATATATAAACAAAACTTTTCTTCCAGTAAGTAACTGAATCAAATTTTACAGGAATGTCTGTGTTACTCAGTGCTCTTGCAACACACTGCCAAGCAGATTCTTTTGGCCTGATAAAAAAAATCTCCTAATCTGAGAAAGCTGCTTTCTACAAAGCCAGCAAAATAAATTCAATTGCACGGGCTCTCAAGTATGTGTTGACAATGTCTTCCCTTGCACCTCTCTTCAGACACTATTTCAGACACCACTGAAAGAAGAATGTTGAGCCCTTTGTATCTATATTGCTGAATATTTTGGTTTCATTTCAGCAGATTTCTCATTTTGAGGAAGCTTAGAAAAGAATCAAATATGGCATAAACACATCTTTCAGATAAAAAATAATATATATCCTGTCTTAACAATTTAAAAAAAAAAAATTAGAGCTAAAATACATTTGAGACATAAGGAAAATTTTCACAGTGACCATAACAACTTTGTTACAAAGTGGTGCTTGTGGGTAAGATATTTTGAATCACAATGTATTTTAAAGGGAATGAGGAACAAACAAAGCCACTGTTTTCCATTCTGCATACAGCAGAATGAGTGAGCAATGCACCAAGTCACTAGAACTCATTTGAACTAATAACCACAACCAAAAGTAAGCTCAGCTGCAAATGAATGAAAACTTACTAGTGAGAAATATGGGTCTACACAAGAATGAAAGAAAACTTATCCCTCCCTGATTGCCCCATACGTTACGGCTTTGATTGGGAAGTGCAAGGAGCACCTTCCACGTTCTTCTTGCTCTTTTCTTCCCCTGTGCCTTTTCTTTCTGGTCTCCATTGCACTCTTTGGTAGTTAAGAATGAACCATTTTGGAAATACAATTGAAATACCCCAGTAACATTGAGCAGAGACTGCATCAAGTCTGTCTGATGTCGGCAGTTACCAACTGCGGCAAGTCCTACAGTTGTATTCACCTGTAAACAACCATTTTCTTTCACTCTCTGAGGAAGAAATGAAGAAAGCATAATTGATATGTCACCTGAAAGTTACCCTCCTTAACAACTATCAGTGAGCTGGCGGCTGCAGAGGTCCGATTAACACAGGACTAACAGGATAAAAATTGGTATCTGTTAGCACAGCCTTTTCACAACTAGAATGAATTAGGGAGACCAGGAAAGAATGCCTCTACCTAGGACAAGTTTGTCCCCAGACACATTATTGTACACAAGCGTGCTCCACTGAAGCTATCAGTGCAAGCAAAGGTCAGATATTTTTGCCATCACACAAAGCTCAGTGATGATAAAGTATCCAACCCCTGTAACCTGGCCTGCCCTTTACAATAAGATACTTTCAAAGGCATTTTATCACTTCAGTATGACTGCAAAAACCTGCGTCAGTTACTGTGCACTTTCATGTTTGCTCTCTTTGATGAAGCACTGGAATTGTGGGGGTGTTTTTCAATAGTTATTTTTGCAAAGATTTAGTAAATGCACTTTCCAAACTAATTTGATAATCAAAATTGAGTCTTCAGGCAAATTCATAATTAGAAACAAGGCAACATTAAAAAACCACAAGAGATCATATTTCAGTGTTTTAAGTAATTGCATGGCATCCTTTACCTCCAAATATTAAAAAATAAAGTTGAAGACTGGAGAAAATAATTAAATAAATAAGTTCTGCAGAGTAAGATAACTCAAACTTTAATTTTTACTAAAAAAACCCAAATATTTTTGATTGACCTGCACTGAGAAAGGGGGAGGTTCTGTACTATGAAAACTGGGTTCATTATCACACAAATATTCTTGTGTGACTTAAGGCAAAAGTCTCCATTCCTTAACTGCCCACAAAAGGGAGCTTTCTTAAGAGTTAAGGATCGGATTTTTCAGATCCCTACCCAGGATAGGGATCTTTAAAGCTCTCCATGTGCGTAAAACCAAAAATATGATGTGAACGCAGAAACTTAAGTCTTGATGCTCGTGTCAGTGACTCAGGGCCCAATTTATTATTGTGCTGATACAGCACTTCGTATCTTCCAAACAGCACTATTCTCCACTTATTTAATATCTGAACGGCAAAACAGCTCCCCAATTATTCTCACAAGTGTTAAAAGTAAAAGTTCAATATATTAGGGAACAGAAGAAAGAAATGTTCCTCTCAGATTAATTAAATGTACACACGCTATCTTAATACCAGTTCTCAAGAGAAGGCAAAAATTATGTCAGAATTAACAAAAATGCTGACAAATTAATAACCAATAGCTTGATTTTAATGTTGCCTCTGCTCCATCTTTCTCTGGAGAGACCAGTGATGAGGAAACAGCATTCTTCATTCTCATTCTCTCTGTCCTTTCCCCACCCCATGCAGGTGACCCGTACCTGTGTCTCTCCCCTAACCGACACGATGCAGGTAATCCAACGTCAGCAGTAGAGGCTTCCAAAAGACCGGCTTTTATTCCAACAGTAGCAAATGAAGGAGGAAAACACTGGACTGTTAATGAAGTCAGAGCTTTGATATGCATATGGTCAGACAAAAATATCCAGCAACAACTGGAGGGGACAGTGAGAAATAAAAGAATATTTGAACAAGTTGCTGCTAGACTTCAAAAGTTTGGAATTGACAGGGACTGGAAGCAGTGCAGGACAAAATATAAAAATCTGAAACATGAATACAAGAGTGTAAAGAGTGCCCAAGACTCAGGGAGTACAAGTAAAAGTATGAAATTTTTTAATGAACTGGATGCTATTCTGGGGCATAGCACCATGGAACAAGCAAGTAGATCAGATAATGATGAAAGTGAGAGGCCTCCAGAATGGACAGAAGCAAAATCAGAAAAGGACTCCATAGGTAAGTACTTCATACCCATATATTGTTTAAAATTTTTAGTTTTCCAGCACTAGAGAGACCTTAAAAAGAACCATGAAAAAAAGAAAAGGCAACCAGATAGATTAACTAGTTTGGTGGGGTGGGGAAAAAATAATGGGAATTTACTGTTTTGTCCGGTGTTCACTTTACATTATAAGGTAATCTTTCAGACTGTTTGTTTTTAAATAAAATTGAGAAACAAAAAGAGGACGAAAAGATTAAGATGTAGGATAAGATGAAGTGATACAGAGATCATTCTAGTCAAAATCATGGCAGAAAAGACTGCTTCCAGCTTAGCTAAAAAAAAAATAAAAAAATAAAAAAATAAAAAGGATGCAAGAGATGGTCAGATTGTATTGCTGGAAACATGAAGACATTGAGCAAAAGAAGTCTGTAGTTATAGACATTAGTTAAAAAAAAATTAATATTTAAACTCTTTCTCTTACAGTCCCAAGTAACCTCGTTTTACTGGCCTTTGAAGCAAACCCCCCAAACTAGTGAGACAAATATTGTGAAAACAGCAAAAGGAATAGCACCAAGAACGCTGGCAGAACTTGCCTTTGTTTTTGTGTGGTTATTGATGAAGAACTTGGTAATGGATGGATTAATGCAGAATTAGAGTAGACTGGTGAACCTACACCCCTCAGAAGTTACAATATTTTTAATTGGTATATATAACCAGAAACAGGCCTGTTGTTTAAGAACAGAATTAAACATAAAGCTCTTTATTACACAGTAAGAATCCTACACAGGGGATATTACGGTGGCCAAATATAAGACTAGAAGTTAAAGTAATTCAAGGAGTCAAGAAAAATATAACACAGAGACATTCTCTGGCTGAAAAGTACGAAAGCATTTTAGGGGAATATTCACTCTTCAGTTGCCATTTCTAGGCTCTTTGTTAATGCATCTACTACTGCCTGCTGCCATTAAGGAGCATCCTAGGTTGAACGGATCTTTTGATTTGACACAGCATAGCTGTTCTTATGTAGTACACGAATGCAGTGCCCTAATTAACATAGCATTATTTATGCAGAAATGCCTGGGGACACAGGTGAAGAGGACTCTATTAGTAATATGTCAGAAGACCTACGGGTTGCAGATATAAAGAAAGTTTCTGACTCAGGTAAACTGAAAAGTCTTCTATTTTATATAAATCCCTGAAGTTAGAAAGTTAAGATGGATTTCTAAAATAAGCCCACATTGTAATGACAGTTAGAAAATGCAAAGGCCTAAAAAACTTTCAAGCAGGAAATAATGTCATCGTGATAACCATACTTTCAATACAGGCACTCGTGGACCTTTACAGTGCTCTGCTAAATTTGATAAAAAACAGTCTAGTAAGTAATCTTTTCAAAGATTCATGACCCAAGATGTAAAGAAGAAACTATTGGTTTAAGCAGGCAGAGTGCAGTGTATTGCTGCATTTACTTTTACTTAAACTATGTCTCCCCAAGGATTAGAACTGTTCAGTCTCCTCTGCGTTAACTAGTACAGCACTCCCTTTTTCACAAGATAATGTGATCAGTATTTAATACAATTGTGTAAATGCTCATGTCAGGGGATGAAAACTTCATTTCAGGGTATCGCTACTAGCACCAAATATGAAGGTCATACACTCTTTACAAAGAAACATGGTTTACACCTGAAAGCATAACTTTCAGAGGAAGTGAGAATTTAACATACAGCTAGAGACACAGGAAAGTCCCAAAGGCCAATGGGTTTGACTGTCCACAACAGAGGACCGGACCTCATCAGTAGCATGAGGCAGAATACGGTCTAAATTAGGCATAAGGAGTAGTATTACAGAATTTAAAATGTTCTAATGTGAACTTGAAAGATTTTAATGTTTTTTAATTAAAAATCTTCTGGTAGATGATGTTACTGTAAATACTACTCCAGAGAAACTGGCAGCTCTGCATATAGCGAAAGAAACAGCTATGACAAGTAAGTAAAGCCATGGTTGATCATGAGAGGCAATGTGAGGTATACTGGACAATAGTATTGTTGTTTTACCATTCAAGAGCAATTACATTTACTAATTTAAATTTACTAACAAAGAAAGATGTAACTGGCCTTTTACCAGATCACCATAGGTGCTTGAGGCATTCATCAGGGAAAAACACATTGTTATGAAAAGTGCATTGCCTATAGGGACCTCATTTTAAGAGAGGCAAAATATATTAAGAAATCATAAATAGTACTTTGTGAGATCCAATTAAAACTACTTGTAAAATACATCAAATTCCATTTCTCTCCATCAACAAGTAAAATTGCTAAATATACGTGAACAGTCGTAAGACACTGCAATAATACATAGATTCAGCAGTGCCACTAAACTGTCACCTGACATAGTTATCAACTGCCTGCAGCTAGGTAACATTGTAACTTTGTGGACTGCAATCTTCCAAGCAAATTATTTAAGATAAAGTTAACTGAATACTTCTAGCAAAGTTCCGAGTTCTCCTGTTTGACACATTAACATTCCTTTAGGATAAGTGTTAGGTGTTAAGACATCTATAGCTTACCTCGGTTACCATTTCCCTTGTCAAATATATGTATTTTAACTGCATATTTTGTTTGTTTCTGGGTAGTTGTAATTGCAGTCTGATTTTGTGGGGAAAGATTAAAATCACAAGTGTTTCAGAAGTGTGTCTGGCTCAGCCTGTCTGCTCTGAAGACTAGTGTTCAAACTTCTGTGGGGAAAAAAAAGCAAAACGACAGCACTCCATCATGAAGAGAGGCAGTTTCAGTTTCCAGAATTCTTTCCCTCATTCTCAGATGAACAATACAGACTCAAATCATTTTGTCACACGTGATAAAAACCACCTAGACTCTAATGTTATTAATGGTAACATAATTAGGTATTACATAAAGCAGAGAAAAGACGCACACTTTTTACGCTGTAATATCATGGAGACCCTTTATTCTCCAGTTGTGGTACGTGCCTTTCCTAGACAGTTCAAATACATTTAAAGTGTGAAACTGGTAATTAAAGAGATTGTATGTACCTCTCTATTCATAAATATACTTGCTGATAAATAGTGGAAAAGGCAGTCAGTCAGGGATACCATATTACATTGGTTCTTTGATATCAGTAGATGTCTGACAATGGATTGCCTTTAGGATGTGACTTCTTAAGGATGACTCCATATCCAACAGAGCTTTTGTAGTAAACTGTTTCTCAACAAGCATGTAATTGTAATTTATATATACATACTCATGTGCCTTTAAAAAAAATTGTAAATAAAAATAATTTTACATAAATAAGAATTTAGAAATTCTGTTCACCTTGTATCAGGGTATTTTCCTAATTAGTACATGGAATGAATATACTCTGCAGTGAAGAGTTATACATATACTTGTCTAGATGTATATTAGCAAGCCTGGGCTGACATCTGCTTTCTGGCAACTGCAGCTGCATAAAAGCAGAGAGGTGCACAAGCTCCTCAGAAGTGCCTATGCTTCCACAGTCCTACATGTGGATGTGAGTTATTAACCACAGTAACATCACCAGCACTGCCAGTCTTTATAAACCTTCCAATCAGGTTTGCCATACTTGTGTAAGGAAAAAATTAGGATGGTATTAGTCAACTAAGTCAAAGGCACCAGTTTCGAGAATACCTAGTTGTTTGATGTTTCATGGTATTGTTTTTCTCCTCTGCCCACACGTATTTGCTCAAATGCCCACCTGAGAAGGAAAAGACAGAGGTAAATGAGGTTCTTCTACAGACCGTTAGTTGCTGGAATGTCTCTGGCAGCACTGCTCTGGGCAGCTTTTTCAGCAGACTGGCCAGCAGAGGGTGCAAGAGCATCGCCGCAATCACAAACCCCATCCCATC